GAGTCCTCTGCAGGTTCCAGTTGCACTTCATCGAGGCGCCAAAACACTTCAGAGAAGACAGAGCTGCCTCCAAACAATACAGAGTCAATAAGTGAATCGAGACCAGGATCGAGAGGGGGAGGCGAAGGCTGGAGCGTAGTCTCCACAGCACGGGAAAGCTGCAGCGCAGTCTCCACAGCACGAGAAGGCTGGAGCGCAGTCTCCACAGGACGTGCCTCAGAGTCGGTTCTCGATGTAGAAGGCGTCGATACAATGGATGAATCCGCTGCGAGGAGTAGAGGCGGTTCATCGAGGAGCCAAACATCTTCGGACAAGGGGTCATCCGCTCCGGCCAACAGGGAATCAATAAGCGAATCGAGAGCAGGGTCGAGAGGGGATGGAGGGGGCTGCAGCGTAGTCTCTGGTCGGAGCTGCTTTGCCTCCCGCTCGACACTGGATTGTTCAGCTCCCTTCCGCTTGAGACCTGTTCGCCTCCATTGTGTCTCTACCTGTGGAGCTGCTGTTCCCGGAACCGTTTTGCCAGACGCTGCGGCGGTTGTGTCCGTTGATGAGGTTGACACCGACCTTCCTGACTGTGCCTGCAGTGCTTCAGCAGAAACGTCTGGCGGCGGGGTCGTAGTCGGCTGGCCTTCTGGCGAGGTGTCTGCTGCCGACTCGGTGCTGCACGAGTCGTCCGACTCATCAAATTCCTCCCCACCTCCGCGGGCGGCCAGCTGGCGACTGAATGGCGAAAACGTTATCCTCCTTTGGATGGACACAGCGCAAATGTAGGCAAGAAATATAACAACGGAAACCGCAACAAGCGCCGCGAGCAGTTGCCGTGGTGCCCTTTGTTGTGGCTCCGCTGTGTTGGCTCCCTTTTGCAACTCATCGTCGTGTTGAATGGAGCCATTTTGCTTCGCACTGGCATACATAACGTGCACAGAAAAACAATCAGACAGAAAGGGGGCTTCCCTAAGCTGCGAAAGCGCCACCATCAAATACGTGTCACTCAGAGACTTTCGTAATGCTAGAAAACATTGTGCGTCNGCTGCGAAAGCGCCACCATCAAATACGTGTCACTCAGAGACTTTCGTAATGCTAGAAAACATTGTGCGTCAAGACGCCAAGGCAGTGCGGTCCACTGATGCTCCGCCGACTTCGGCGAACATTATTTGGATGACAAAGGAAATATGGTTCGAGTGAAGGCTAGCCGGAAACTAAGCAGTTTTCTCCTCAGAAGGGGCAAGCATAACTGCAGGATTTCTTCTTCGCGCTGTTAGGAGAGCTGGGTGAAGCCCAACCTTCATGACGAGTAACAGCTACTATTTCTTTGAAAATTGACAGCAAAATTATTAAGAAACTCATTGGTCTTCCTTTAAACTGTTTGAAAGATCGTGGACGGATTCCACGAAAACTCGAGCGTCCCGGTGGCTCCCCGTGCGTGCGATGTTCTTGTGGTCATTGACTCGAACACCATGGAAGCATTGAAGAAGAGGACCCACAGAGGGCAATAACAATAAAAGGGTATATTGGTAAAAAATAATAATTATGTGTCTGCTATACGGGTCAAATTTCTAGATATGCAGTGCCACGTTGAGCAAAGCCCAGGGGGTCGAGTGGCGAGATCGACCGTGGGCCGGAAGGCATCGTTTGACCCTTGCCAGCCTTTCATCTGCGAAAATTCCCCCTATTCGACGCAGGAAGAAAAAAGTTGCAAAAGCATCCAGCGCTGGACAAATCAACAAGAAGTAGAAGAATAAACCACTCCACGTTTTTCTGGTGCGTAGCGTAGCTACTGAAGGCTAATAACATCCTTATGAATTCTTCTGGTGCTAACACTTTCTCCAACGAGGGGTTTGTGTACTCTTGCCTATGGGGACCGTCAGATTACAGCTACTGCTTGCCCTAATTTATATGACGTCAAGTAACTTCTTTCAGAAATCTCTATTTCACTTATACCCGCGACGGAACTAGTTTCTCCTTAGTTTGCCCGTAGTTAGCACAGGAACATTCACTTGGTCTTGGTAAGCTGCCTGTGAGCAAATATAAATGATCAACAAGTGTCTGAAGCGACAATACATGCAGCAAAGGAAAATCGGTTGTGCTTGCNCGCTGCGCCCAGGATGCCCGGAAACAGAGGAGGTAGGTCAACTGCTTTTTGGAAGCTCTTGCCTCAAGTGTTTTGGCTTTACCGCGGCTTGTGAAGACGGTCCTCGAATTAGGCTGATGACTATCGTTACACATTCCACAATGTTGGCTTCACTGCAACAGGGTCTCTCCAAAGTTCATGTATGGACATCTACATGTGTGCAGGTTGCCTACTAGGGGCCAAGTAAGTGTTCAACAACTGTCTACTCTATTTGTAATGCACCAAACAACGCTTCGTTGTGCTTGCATACGGAGCTGCCTTCCAGCACTAGTTGCAGCAGAGACGTTGCACCCCATGAAGGGCCTACTCCCCATAGCACCGGCCCACCCCTTTGTACGAGATGCTAGCTGGTTCTTGAAACGCTTATTTTCAGCATTTCGCTCGACTGGAGCTCCCGATGGTTCTTGGCGAAGGCTGGACCCACGCCACACACATTCCGAAAACCCATGCCCACGCTACACTCAGTGCCGCTCCGCCGCTGCGGCGAGTGCTGTCAATCTTATCTAATTGCTTTCGTGAGCTTCAATCAACACAATGTACTCAAGTTGCCCAAAACCAGGTGACCACTCCTCCAGTTTGGAGGTGCCGTTGGCACAGTGGCGCAAAGTCCTGAGGCTGGTGCAGAGACGGGGTGCTCCGTTGTTTTGGTAAATGCGGAATCACCCTCAAAAGCAATGATACACGGTCAAAGCCCTCAGGAGCCAACCGATGAGATAGAAACACATCTACTACCACCAATTTTAGGCAGACCATGGTACAGCCGTCGTGGACAGACTCCTGCTCGTTCCTTCACTGTTGGCGTGTTGTCATTCAACAGATGTAGGACGTTATCTACTGGCGACCAGGCAGTAACATGAGTCTCAGGAAACAGGGTGGTGAGGCCTACGGCAGGCAGCAGCACCCACCCATATGTGCGTGTTCGGCGATGCGCCTGTGCTGCTAACGACCAGCCCTCACTTCTTGAGCCAGCTAGGCTTTTCAGACATTCCGTCGCATGTACATGTGGCGCCGATAGGTGGTGCACGCACCTCAGGTCTTATTGGCTTTACGGCGTCACATATGGGGACTGGGGACTGCACAGCAAAGGAAGCTCCAGATGTGAACACTGATGCAGCTGCACTCACGTGATGAAGCATCACATCATCCCCTTACGCCTGTTAATATTGTTTTCTCGTTGATACTTCGTCTTCTGTCACACTCCGCTGTACGGACTCTCTCCACTGGTCGGCGTCATCTCTCCACAGGTTCCACATTTCGGCCTTGAACTTGGACGAGCCCGGCTCACGCAACAGCGCTTCCTTTAAGCCGACGACCATGGCAACGGGGGGTCGCAACCCTCTTCTATAGTACTCCAACGCCGTGTTCAGTGTCCGTGCAATGTCTGCATTCCTGTAAGATTTTTCAGTCGAAAGGTTTTCGCTATTGGGCACGAACCTTGCAGTTTCAATGCGACGCATTATCAAGGGCCACCATGATTGCCTTATCGAAAAGTCCCCTAGTACTTCTGCTGCACAATAGAGCGTGTCCAGAACAAAAAAAATCGTTCCCAGAGTGTCCATGGCCTGAATNGTTTCATTAATGTGTAGCACATAGCAAGTGCTGGGCCTGCATTCCTCTTGATTGGGCGAAACAACGCCGCAAACGGTGCACTAGATTGTCTTATGAGGCGTTCTTCCTGGTGTTGTGGGTGACGGTAAAATGGGTGCGTTCTCATGACGTCAATAGGAACAGCTGGGAGAAACTCGCTGAGCCACGCGAAGCGCGAAATGACAGTTGCATCAGTAGGCAGGTCTATCATAGACGAAGACTGCAGCAAGCATACAACAGTAACACTTTCATCCTGCCTGTTGCGCCTCAGTAGATTCCATTCTAGATAGGCACCGACCGGCTATGTGAACGCCAGAAACTGCTGCTGCAGTGGCAACGAGGCAACGGTGTCTGGTGTCCATCGTAAGCCCATTTTGCGCTGCCACGGGATACAGCAGCTCGCACCTGCTCAACTGATTGACTTTCCTGAGACAGCCTGACTCCCGCAGGTAGCTGCCGCGGGGAAGCAGAGGTCCTGGAGGAAGGTGCCGAATAGTGGTCAACTGCTCCTTCGGGGGTGCTGGCCATTCCTGCTTTCGGAGATGTGGGCGCTTCTGCTGTGAGTTCTTGTAGAGACTCCTTTGTCGCCTGCTGGTACACAACACAGTTGGTATTCAGCCTGCAGCCCATCCGTTGCCATATTAACACGGGGAGAGCAATACAAGCAGCATAGCAGGACACGCCTTGGACGTGTTAGTGCCAGCTAACAATATGGTCTGAACTCAAGTCAGAGGCTCACATCTGCTGTATCCGGGGAGGGCCCACTGTCCACGGTTTCGGCGCCAGCAGGCAATTCCCGTTGCAACAGGCTGCCTAACGCGTTACGAGGTAACGGCGGTTCGCCACCTACTTCTTCTTCGCGCCCTTTACCATAATTTGGAAGTACAGATGTCATTGGCGGCAGCACATATTCAGCTTTCCCGGGGGCTTGGTCGGCGCCCGGCCGCTCAGAATCACCACCCAATGTCGGCGGAATCGAAAGAATGGAATAATCCGGTGTGGGGTGTGGCGGCTCATCATCAAGAAGCCAAGCGTCCCCCGACAAGATATCTGCACTTTCNATCCGGTGTGGGGTGTGGCGGCTCATCATCAAGAAGCCAAGCGTCCCCCGACAAGATATCTGCACTTTCAGACAGCACGGAATCAATAAGTGAGTCGAGACCAGGGTCCAGAGGGGTTGGCGGAGGCCGCTGCGGGGTCTCCA